CAGTGTGGAGAGATAGAAATGTAAACAATTCAGCACAGTATTTTCATGGATGTATGAAGAAGAAATGATAAAAACACTGATGTAGTAGCAGGGATGTAGCAGTAGTAGGTGTCATTCTCTTTAATGTGTTACCTAACAACTACTGTGGGGCAGTTAAAAAATTCAGTCTTGGAAGAGAGCATGGTAGAAAGARATTGTGCTCTGGAGGATTTTTAAATGAGGGCTATCAATTTTTATATTTTGATGCTGTGAGTGTTAGGAATGTTTCATTAGTAGCAAGTTACATCTATGCCCAGGTTCTGCTCCCATGTGACTTGAAGATGTCATTCATCTAACTTTCCTGAAACTCTGTTCCTTTATTCCTTATAGATAGGCATTTATGTAGTTTAAGAACTAAAGCTTTAGGGTACTATGCCTACAAGGACTGAAGGTAATATTTTTTTCAAATCAGTCATTGAAAAATCAAATGAATGGTTAGTTTCATAATGATTTTAGGCAAGAATGTCAAAGACATTGAACTTGAACTAGAAAGTTTTTTTATGGGTGTGCCTATGCAAATGCACACAGTAGGATATGGAGGAAACACTTGTTTGTCAGAAAAARATTCATTCCTGACAACTTCTTATTTAATAAAAAATATCTGTAAGGAGTTCAGATACATTGTTAAATAGAGTTGGTATAAAAGTGTCAAATTGATTCTGTTTTTCTCCCCAGAAAATAATGTATGAGATTAAGATTGTATGTGAAAAACATAATGGTGATGAGAAAATGGAAGATTACATCTTCCCAGGGAGATTTTTTACTCTTTACCCTTTAAAAGAGAGCATATATGTTAAAAGAGCCACAACTATGACTTTGGTGCTTCTCACAGCACTGAGTGGGGCCTAGACTATACTTCTTGGTTCATTGATTTTTTTAAAGGTCTTTTCATTTTACTTTTGTCTCTGCTCTATTGCATACGTTGCCAATGAGATAAAAAAAAATTACCCTTAGAGTTCCGAACATTACTTCTTGTTCGATTTTCACTAGTCACTGGCTTTAAGGTTTCTTACTCAGGTAAGTGATATCTCTGAATGGTAGAGAGTGGGAGGTTTCAGGCATGGTACTCACTGCCTTCAAAAACTGAGTGAAAGCAAACTATTTTGCTTCTTTACGTTGATCTTTGGGTTATCAATCATTGTCAAAGATTTTGTTGTCATGAGTTTATATAGCTGAGACTCTAACAATAAGTTTAAAGGTATTTTCATAAAAATTAAATTCTTATTTCTTCTAACATTATTATTAATTTCACTTTTACTATAATCTTTCCTTTGTTCTTTTTTTTAAGTGTTTTCTATTATTATTTGAGCAACACAACTGTGCATTTCTGTGCTAACTTGTTATTCTACTACAGCCAAGTCTTTAGTTCTGATTTTCTTTTTCTTTCTTTTTTGGGTACTGGAGATTGAACTCTGGGACACTCAACCACTTAGCCACACTCTCAGCCCTATTTTGTATTTTATTTAGAGACAGGGTCTCACTGAGTTGCTAAGTGCCTTGCTGCTGAGGCTGGCTTTGAGCTAGCAATCCTCCCGAGTCAGCCTCCTGAGCCACTGGAATTATAGGCATAAGCCACCACAACAGAATCTAAGTCCTCAATGTTGATGTAGTATTAGAAGTGGTGAGGATATTGGAACATTTTTTCAAGTTTACTTATACATATATGAGTTTTTTTCCCATACCATTTTACCTTTTTTTTATTTTATTCCATCTGAAGAAACAAACTTTTATTTAAGTCATGAGATGAAGAATCTTTGTATTATAATTAGATCCCAAGATTTGGGTCATGTTACATTAGCTTCAATTGAGTTTTTTGTTTATTTTTAAAAGGGCAACCATGTGGTCTAGGGCATTGTTGTACCTCATAATAGTAAGCTAAAGACAGTAACCAGGTCCACATGATCTCTCAGGTTCCATTCTCAGCAATTTTTTAAAAATACATTCATTTAATAATAGTCAAAATATAAATTTATTTAAATTTGGAAGAAAGAATAAGGGATACCTAATTTAAAAAAAAGTGTTGTTCAAAGCTCTGTTTTAGGTTACCTTTCCTGACATTGCTTTGTCAGGGTTTTTAATGAACTTTTAGCAATTTGTTCTGCATTACATCATAGACTTTATCWTTTCAAGGTATCTGTCCCTAGAGCAAGATAGACTCATTACTCATACAAATCTGGGTTATAGTTTTCTAGGAAAATTAATTACTTTATGCTAGCTACATATGGTTAACTTGTAAGTATGAAAGCTTTAAAATATTTCAGGTGATATAATGTAGGCATTTAAATAGTCTTTCCCCCCTTTTTCCTTATGCATGAAATAGTGGAWTAATAGATATTAGAATTAATACTTTGTAACACTGATATTTTGCATGGGGTACTGAAGAATTATTTCTCTTGTTTATTGTAAATTGTCAAATGACTTCTTAAATTTGAATAAGGGTACCCATTGAGAACAGAGATTCCATGGGCCCATTAGATACCTTTTGAATGGTCATTATTACATGTATACATGTCAGTGCTGTTTTGTGTRTCTTGGCATTCTAAAGGGTTGTAATAGAGTATTATCCATGTTGCYAATGTAATGTGTGTATCTACCATTAACAGTGCCTAAGGGAAAAAGAGAAAAAAAAATTCAAGGAATGAATCCTTTTTGGTGTATACCATATGTATATTTGAGTTCAAAACACACTTATTGAAATAAATTTAATGATCATTATTCTTTCATGAAAGTTATTATTATCCTTCTCTACAAATCAACAACCTGATGCCTAGATTGTGTATTTATACAAAGGCTGCCCCAACCCCCTGACACCTTTTTTCKTGTGGAAAAGTTGGGAAGAAAGAAAAAAGAGGTGAAAAATATTAACTGTTTTTGACTTAATTTCTCTCCCCCTGAGAAAGCATACCTCAATTTAGTTCAACACAATATACATTATATTAGCTAAAAATTCCATGTAAGGGCCAAGCTAGGATTTCTCATACTAAAAACATACAATATATTTTAGGACAAATGACTATGAAATTTTTGTGGTAGAGATAACACTATCTTAAAAGAGTGATTCATTTCCAGTTAAAATCAATATTATAACAGGGTTACCATTTGTCTTTCTACAACATTATATTGCTTAAATTTGTARAAAAAATTTAAAAATGTCTTTGTCAAGTTTATAGTCTTTTTTTACTCTCTTGAAGGAGGAAAAAACCCATATTGGTTTTAGACAAGGGACTTTGAAGATTTTTTTTTTAAAAGAGAGAGAGAGAGAGAGAGAGAGAGAGAGAGAGAGAGAATATGAGAATGAATGAGAATCTTTTTTTTTTTTTGTAGATGGACACAACATAATGCCTTTATTCATTTTTTTTTTCAATGTGGTGCTGAGAATCAAACCCAGGTCCCGCCCGTGCTAGGCGAGCGCTCTACCGCTGAGCCACAATCCCAGCCCTTGAAGATGTTTTTCAAAGTATTTGAAAACATTTTCTAAAGCAGGCTTATTATTGTATTAGTTGAGCTCTTAGAATTATGCTTKTGTGAATGTAAACATTTAACCTGTGGCTGATGAGAGGGCTGGGTATAAATTAGATATTTATATTATTTTCTAATGAAACTTTTCAAATATAAGAATTTGATCTCTACTATTAATGCTTTCTGCTTTGATTTTTTAGATGTATATTCATCAATTGTTTTTTATCCTTTCCTTTAGCCACAGAGAACTTGTTTTTAAATTTTTTATTGGTTCTTTCCAATTTCATATGGTAGTAGAATCCATTTTGATATAATTATACAAGCATGGAATATTCTAATTAGGACTGCATTCTTGTTGCTTAGCTCATTTCTATTTTAACCCTGTTGTTTCTGTCACTTTTTTTGTGTGAGGGGGTCTGGTCTTACCTAAAAATTTTTTTTGATATTTATAATAGTTATTGAAATTCCATAATTTTACCATTACTGCCCCATTGGCATGGTTTAAGTTTTGAATTTCCAATATCTTYCTTTTAGTTAAGAAATTCATATCTATCTTCAATATAGTGTGTGTTAGCCTACAGGTAAGTGGTCATTCCCTTAATATATACTGATAAAATGGTGGAATAAGCTTTAAAGAACTTCTCCCATTTTTATTGTTTTGTTTTCAGCCAGCCTCTCTTGTGTTCCCCAGGCTGATTACAAACTCCTGCACTCAMGCAATCCACCTGCCTCAGCCTCAGAGTAACTTGGACTGTCAGCATAGGTTATCACACCCAGCTTCTTTTGTTCTTTTTGATACCTCCAGTTCTCATCCCCAATAGTCACATTCCCAGAGTCACAAAGAGGGTTAACTTGGCATGTGRTAGACCTGTGGCTTTGCACTACTTCTATCTCCTGTGACTCCCATGTTTCCTAACTCTGATTCTGCTAATTTAGTATGTGTCAGGAGTCATTCTGCTTTCTGTGTTTCTGAAGAAAGTCAATTTAGTACAAATTGGGACCTATTTATTCTCCCTCTATCTAACACATACTGTTAGTCAGCAGGGCTTCTGAGGACAGCAATTGCTATTTGAAGCAAACAAACCCTCTTTAGACCTTTCTGAGTATGTTTTAAACATGTCCTACTATATTTCAGTATTGAACAAAGGTTATTTAAAGTAATGATATAGATGTTTTGTAATTTGTTGTGTGTGTATACTGTTACCTTTTTAAAATTGAGTGTGTAAAAATGCATTTAATTTATTGCTTAATTAAACATTATTGTTTTACTAAAGCTTTCTTTTCATTGCACATCTAAATTGTTAATTTTGTTTTTGAGGAATGACTCTGGATTCCTTACAAAAACAAGTAGGGCTTCTCTCTCTTCCTGCCATCAGTTTCAGAGGACATATTGCTTCTTTGGTACTGTCATACCAATAAATCATCCCAGATTACTTGCAGTCGTACAGTACTAAACTATACCATGCATTTTAAAGGAAATCTGCTATTTTCTTTTCAATCAGATGAGCAATGTGAAGAGACTGCGGCCACGGCTCAGTGCTATTCTCTTTAAGCTTCAGTTTGAAGAGCAGGTGAACAACATCAAACCTGACATCATGGCTGTCAGTACTGCCTGCGAAGAGATAAAGAAGAGCAAAAGCTTCAGCATGTTGCTGGAACTTGTATTGCTAATGGGAAACTACATGAACGCCGGCTCCCGGAATGCTCAAACCTTCGGATTTAACCTTAGCTCTCTCTGTAAAGTGAGTTTGTTTTTTTAAGACACATATTTGCCTGAACACTTACTCTTAAATGTCAGCCCTGATTACATTATTTAAATATTTTTATTTTGATGTGCTCATTATCAAGAACTTGAACTGAACCATGAACTCAAACCCGGAGTGAACTAAGCTAATTTACTCAACCTCTGAACTAAATCCAAATATTAATTTTGTGTGATCTGCAAATCCAACGGAAGGATTTTGTTTAATAATAAAATTATATTGTAAACCTATGCTTTGTCAAACCAGTGAAATGGAACATGAAAATATTACTTAAACATTATATTTCTTCAGTTCAGGCACCTATACACGATGATATATATTGACTATTGCTTCAGATTGCCTAAATTTTTACCTTTAACTATTTAAATATTTATCTGCATTGTTTTGTGTAAGTCAACTAAAAGGAACAAGAAATAAGACTGCTTTATATAAAGGAAAGTGATTATATTAGGAATAAACATACCTTAGATGTCATTGATCATTTTGAAATGGTTCCATCTATTATTTTAGAGGATGTTAAAATTAAATAAGTTCTTCTTTTGGTTGAATTTTCTTAGAAAAAAATATATTTAGTGTTTTATTTAACAGAGCTCTTTCCTGAGGAGTGGGCCATAGAATAGTGTTTTATTGGTCTACTTACAACAAATTCTTCTCAGTTATACATCACATGAAAAGCTTTCTCTTATTCTTGACCTTGTAACATCTACAATCCTTGATTAAGGAATTTAGTTATTGCCATTGTCAGATAGGGAAGGAGAGAAACAAGTTCAGCTTGAGCTGTGGAGTTTCTGGTAGTTATTTTTTGGAACTCACATCAGTTTTCTCAGTTTCYCTGACCTTAGTCTTACATTGGTATCATCAGTGCCATGTGACCTTTTTCTCTTTCCCCACTTCTTTTTATTTTCTAGCCTTTATTATCATAGATTTTTGTACTCTTGGTAAATAAGGTTCTTATTATCACCAACACGATTCCTAAAACATATTAAAGGCACTACACATCTACTGAATCCTTACTCAGGGTGAAATCCTGTGCCAGATGCTTTTCCAGGTCATCTCTTTAATGTAGGTAATCACCTGGCACACATGGAATTCACATTTTTTATATGTAAACTATTAATTATGATTAATTGCTTTAGTGGAGCTATATACAAAATGTTATTGCAGCAGAGTAAGGCCAGAGTGTCAAGCTCTGTGAGATGACAGCTAAGTATTCAGAGAAATAGAAACTTGTGCTGGATCTTGAAGATGAGTAGCTATTCCCTGGAGCATTCCCAGTACAAGAGAGACGTTTGCATGAAATATTGTAGCATGGCCTCTGGGAGTCTCTGAATGGCCCAATATCTTTGGAGCCTGCAAGGGACAGCATTTGGGGGGACTGGACTGAGGTAGTAATTTGGTTTAAATGAGCCTTGAATGCCATGTGCAGTGGTGAAGGTTGTAAGGAGACATGTTAGTTTTATATAGAAAAGTAATGTTATCAGCTCTTTTGTGTGACAATGACTCCATCAGCAGCATGAAAGAAGGTTATGCTGTGCTGTTCAGTAGTGTTGCCGTAAGAAATGTATGATTATTGGAATAAAAATTCAAATTTAGTTTCTCAGTCACACTTGTCACATTTTAAGTTCTCGGTGTTTATACCTGTTGCCTTTTCCATTGTTGTAGAAAGAACTTTTGGACAGCGATGGGTTAGAGGAGTCTAAAAGGGAGATACTTGGTGACTGGCTAATATATAGTATGTACATAGAAGAGTGACAATATCAAACTAAGATGATGAATAAGGAAGATAGTGTGGGAGGTGAGGGAGAAGTGGGAGGGATTGTTATTATCTTAGCCAGCTGGTGGGTGATACAGCTCCTGACATGTTTGAAGTGGTTGTTCAGAAGGGAAGGCATTCAGGGTGTTTTTGTTGTTTTCCTCCTCCTGCTTGCCTCAGTTTCTTAAAGGATATTGGACTGAAGCTGCCTTATTTAATTATTTATCATCTACTTTAGTGTCTAATACATAATGGYCACTATAATTTAAGATGATGGAGTTCTTAGCTAAGGAAGTGGCAGAGGGGTTTGAGGTAAATAGTAGAGGAGATAGAGTTAAGTGTATAAATTCAGCAAACATCGGGAATTATCCGACTGGGCTGATTATGAGTGACTGAGAAGGGAAAGTGAGACTATCAAGTTCAGGCTTTCCCTGAGAAGGAATGCAAAGGAAGCCAAACAGGGTAAGGARCAAGGTGGGTGAGAAGTTAAGTCCATATATACAAATCTACTGGGGTTTGTTTTTTTTTTGTGAAAAATGGCTGTTCATTTTTAAGTTTTTGTATCTCAGAAATATAATTGACTTACAAAAAGTTAGTTGCATGTCCTCCTTCTAGCATTCCTCCACAGAAAAGTTGATAAAATACTCAGTCTGATTAGTGAGGTGGACTAGCCATAGATAGTACTTGATACTTAGTAAATATTAAATAGCTATTGAGTGAAGTGAATGAAACTTGTTRCAACACACATTTTTTTGTAGTTGAAAATAGAAATGCTTTCATTGAGATATTCAGTGGTACTTAGTATAAAATCATCTATAAATGCAATGCATGCCGTTATTATTTTACTACAGTTAGTCTCCAAATCAGTTAATCGTCCTCCTTATAAAAAGTTGATTGTATTTTCATGCAATGACTAGGTCTTTTCATTATCCTTCTTAGGAGCCTTCTGTTGTTCAAGAAACAAAATAAATACTACAACTTCATATTTTTATTAGCTTACATGTCAGTGTGAAAGCATATATTGAACAAGATGATATCTCATCATGTTTGTTATCAGAGGTAGCAGCTTGATCTTTGACAATTGTGATTGAATTTTTCACACCAGATATAAAGCATTCAGTTGGTTGATAAGGCTCCAYACAAGGAATTCATATTTATTTGACAATAGAATGTCAAAGAAATATTTAGATCTGTTAAAACACACTAAGTAATTATATGAAACTTAACACTCTGTATCTAAAATCATTTAAAATAATTTTTTTTATGTTAAGATCAAGTATAAAAAATACCTGAGACTTTTTTTAAATATTAAAATTATGTTTAGRAATAAGTATAAGAATTGTGAATTTTATACACGGTTTCATTTTTAAGAGCCATATCTCTTTATATATGCGTTTATAATCAGGGTTAGTAACTATAATGTCTCTGAGTTCAGAGAGAAAAGGGTCACTTTCTTATATCCCAGAAATGTGATGAAGACAAATCAATACAAAAGTAAAACAAGAGATATAATGTGAACAGAAATTACAACTAGCTTAATAAGATGTGAGTAAAACTTATGCTTGATGTGTAGGCCAACATGGGGCTTTTTGGTAGTCAAAGTGTAGTGTACACATTTTCCTGAAACTTTTTATGAGCTAAAAATAATGTCTTTTTATTTTTTTATTTTTGGAAGAGTTAAAGCTGACTTCCATAAGAAATTGGCACATGTATCTTTATATATATATATAAAAAAATGTGGTGGTGAACAGTGTTCTTAGAAATAGTGGATCTGAAGAATCAGTTTCATGTGGATGTTTATTCTAAAGCTATCCCTTTCTCTCCTTTCCTCCCTACTAACTTGGAACTCCATGAGAAACTCTCGTGGTAAGATAGAAATGTATTTTTCAGTGACAATTATGCTTGCTTCTCCTAGTTTTGGTAAAATGCTCTAAATGCCTTGTTTTCTGATGGCATAACTTTATTTATTTATTTAGCAGTAGTAGTAGTAGTAGTAGTAGTAGTAGTAGTAGTAGTAGTAGTAGTAGGAATTGAACCAGAGGTGCTTAACTACTGAGCTAAATCCCTAGGCCTTTTAATATTTTATTTTGGGACGGGGTTTCTCCAAGTTGCTTTGGGCCTCACTAACTTGCTGAGACTGACTTTGAACTTGTGATCTTCCTGCCTCAGCCTGTCTCACTGCTGGGATTATAGATGTGATGGCCTATAAGCATTAGAATGTAAATGGCTTACATTCTGTTATATTAGAATATTATTTATATTAGAATGTTATATTACATTCTTAGAATATAAGGCTTACACTTAGAATATAAATGGTGGACTGCTTATCATCCATTATATTCTCAAAAGATTTTACTGAGATTTCCATAAAAACTGAATAAGGCATTTTGAGATCCTCTGTTTGTGTGTGTGTGTGTGTGTGTGTGTGTGTGTGTGTGTGTGTGTGTGTTTGTGTGTGTATGCATGCGTGTGCATTTTCCAATTGGTATTCATAAAATGTAAATTCATATCTTTAGAAATCTAGTCATTGTATGGTGCATACTTGTCTGACTAAAATGTCTACCTGGCAAAAATCTGTATCTGGTTTTTGTTGAAGGTATTTCTTTAAAAGAACCCAGTACTATGCCAAGAACCCCCCTCCCCTGCCCCAAGTAAATCAGCATTGTAAGTAAAGAATGAATTGACCCAGCCATGAAAGTTCAACACCATATTAAAATAAATGGGATAATTTAGACTTATAGGAGTGTATATTATAGATAAATACATAGTAGCTATAACATGTATGATGTTTACTAGGGTCTAATGAGATGTGTGATGTCTGAATATCATCCTTATCAAAAAAATTAGATAATATACTGGGGTATATGTTACACTGGGAGAATAGATATGAGTTTTGAAAGAACTTACTACTGTAATAACTRATTTTTATCAGTATTTATGCTGTTATTATTTGGGAAAAATTACAAAAACAAATCTTTAAATTTATCCACCTTAGGAACTTTCTATGCTCTGTGGTAGTTGAGCATTAAGTTCATTTCAAAGTTGAAGTCATTAAAAGATACATAATAACAGGGAAGGGGTGGCTGTAAGATTGATTTATAAATCAGTTCCTTTTACTCGTACAGAATTTCCTATGTGATCTTTCTAATTCATTATTTTGTTTTAATAAGCASAGGCTAAACAAAAGTAGATTAACTTCAGCATACCAGTGATGGGAATGATTTAA